AAAAAAAAAAAAAAAAAAAAAAAAAAAAAAATCATGTACGTGGAACACTATACTTACCTTAGGTACATAATAAATACAAGATGAGACTCTAGATGTTAAAGATCTCATATCTTCTAATAACCTAGTGGATTATCTTGTGAACCCCTCTGAAGATCTTTGCCTAAAGGAATGCCTCTTAAAATGGGCTCCACAGCCTACCCACGTCAGATTCCTGGGTCTGTTCCTGATCTGTGGTCTCTGATTCTGGGGGTGGAGCCCACAAGTGTGCATTTAATCAACTCCCCAGAGGAATCTTTTGGAATATTCAGAGCAGTGGTTTCCTTGGAAAGGGCTCAGAGTTCTTGGCCAGCCAGTATAAAACTTGATGGGTTTATGGGTGTTGGACTCCATTTTTACCTGTGAACTTGCCCTTGTAGTTGGGAAATAGCAGAGCCAGGGAAGCACTGAATGCCTAGGGTAAACTAATTTTCCTCTGGATACTTTATCACTTGCAGTTTGGAATATCTTTGCTCTATGCCCTGCTAAGTCATGGGGAACAGCTGATATCCCTGGATTCTTCCCTAGAGGAACCCAGCAGTGACCACACAGCTTGGTAAGATCATAAAAGTCTTCTAAATACTATTTCAGTACCCTTGGGATGTATAGGCTGAGCCAGATGAGATGTTTCCTGAGTGGTTTATTCAAGCACCAGGGAGGAGGTTGGACAGAGAAACAGAGTTGTAGCTGTTCTGCCCTTTTTTTTTCCTATAGTGCCCTAGAGCATTGTCCCCCATGGAAGGCAGTGTAAGGTAGACTCTAAAGCTTGTCCCTTTAATTAGTCACAGACCTAGGTGTGAATTCTGCTTCTGTCACTTATCAGGAACATAGCATTGGGGCACATTATTTTACTTAGCCTGTTTCCTCATCTATAAACTAGGGATCTAAGGATAAGGGTACTAACCAGTTAGAGATCTAAAGATTAAATGAGATGGAAGATGTGTGTAAAGCACTAAACATTGCCTGGCACATACCAAATGTGCAAATGTTCTCTCTTAGTTGCTGGAGGTACAGAGGGTGATAGTGGTGGTAGAAAGACAATAAGAAACCTGGGCCCTGAGCCTATTTCCTGCATGCATACAAAGATGCTGATGTATTACTTCTCTGCCCTCCAGGACAGACATGGTAGTTCTCACTGCCTGGGAGATAGCTCAAATGCCCACAGCCTCTCTGGCAGAACCCCTGGCCTTCCCCAGCAACCTTCTTCCTCTGTTCTGTCACCATGTGGACAAACAATTGGTACAGCAGCTGGAGGCTAGGATGGAGTAAGTGACTGTGGAAACAAGGTCATAGCCCCCTGTTCAAGCCCAGACTAGGTTCTGTCACTTCTCTACTACTCTTTTTTTAAAAATTATTTATTTTTGGCTGTGTTAGGTCTTTGTTTCTGTGCGAGGGCTTTCTCTAGTTGTGGTGAGCGGGGGCCACTCTTCATCGCGGTGCACGGGCCTCTCACTGTCGCGGCCTCTCTTGTTGCGGAGCACAGGCTCCAGACGCACAGGCTCAGCAGCCATGGCTCACAGGCCCAGTTGCTCCGCGGCATGTGGGATCTTCCCAGACCAGGGCTCAAACCCGTGTCCCCTGCACTGGCAGGCAGATTCTCAACCACTGCACCACCAGGGAAGCCCTCTACTACTTTTAAACCAAGAATATGGAGGATAACTTGCTTTTAGAAGTATTTCTAAACATTGGTACTTACTGAGTAACTAGTCTGCTCCAAGTTAGGGTCGTGGGGCCTGTTTCTTCAGCCAAACCTTTCCATTTATTCCCAGGAACTTTGATCATTTATCATGCTAAGCTATCTGAGGGTAAGAACTAGTTTGAGAAGATGAACTTTTCATTAAAGAAGTATTTGAGGGACAACTCAAATGTAAATAAGATGTAAACACACAAACATGTAGGTCATCTCTCAGAACTTACCATCTGCTGGAAAGAGACGTATTAATCATATCACACAATATTTTAAAGGGAATGCACCTCTTCTCTTTGTAGGTTTGCCTTGATCTACTGATCAGGTTGTTCCGGAATACATATGTGGGAAGAGTTTAATGATCAGACATTAGTTGTGTATGGGTTTTGCCTAAAGTGATCCAGAGAGTCTGAAGACAGTTGTATGCCTTGATATATTGGTGAACCCTGCCCAAAACCTTTTCTTATGCTTCAGAAACTATGAACTATGTGCCTAAAAAGGCATGGCAAAATGAGGTATAATTAAAAAGATAATAGAATGAAGTGTGGCAGTTTGTTTGTAAGTTAAGAAAACGGCTTTCATTATATCTCCTATGTGTGAAGCTTCAAGTGTCCTTAATGTAAGGGACAAGTCCTTGTTATGTCTAACAACAGACCTTGGAAACTGTTCCACTGTTGCCATTTTTTATAAGTAGCCCTAGCTGAGCTAAGAGTGTTTTATATAAATCTCTCTTGAGATATGGGATGTTTGGTTTACTTTGACAAACAAGGTCATGCACTCATCAAAAAACACAAGAGTCCCTTTTATGAACCAGGTACCATTTTAGGTGGTTGAGAAACAGTGGTGACCAAGGAAAAGCCCCTGCTCTTCTGAAGCTTACATTCTGATTGGACAGGGACTGACAGAAGACATCAAATACTGATAAATACCACGGTGAAAACAAAATTGGGGGATGAGTGACTGGAGTGGAGTGGAAGGCCTGTCAGTAGAGGTTACAATTAAGCTGGAATCAATGACAAGTATTCCAGGCAGGGGCACTAGTGAGCACAAAGCCCCCAGAGTGAGAATGAACTTGGTGTGTTTTAGGAAAAGAAAGGAGGACAGTGTGGCTGAAGTATACAGGTAAGGGGGAGAGGGTGATAAGGTAGGAGAGAGGTAAGCAGAGTACACATCTGTAAGCCATGGTTATTTTTTAAAGTCTGGATTTTTAACTGCTGGGAAGTCAGAATTTTAAACAGGGAAGTGACATGATGTGATTTTGTTTTGAGATCACTCTGACTGCTGATTGTTAGGGGAACAGGATAGAAAGCAGAGAAAAAAATGTTCAGAAGTTCTTTTGCCAAAGCTGGGGAAAGAATTGAAGAGCTTTAGGGACAGAAAGGGAAGAAGTTTGGAAAAGGTTTTGGAAGTAAGAGTTGACAGACATTGCTGATGGGCTGGATAAGGGTGGTGGTGAAGAATCCAGGATGACTCCCAGGCAGAGTGAATGGTGGGTGCCCTAGACTAACATGGGGAACACATGAGGAAAAATGCATTGCGAAGGGTTATAATAAACATTTTAGACACTTTAATATGTCCTGTTAGAAATCCAAGTAGATATATCAAGTAGGTGAAGAGCAGTCTGGAGGTGCAGGAAAAGGTCAGGGATAAAGACACAAAAGTGGGAGTATCAGCACACAGATATATTACAAGTTAGGAGTGAGGAAGAGATGATGTAGGAAGAAAAGCCAACCTAGGAGACTGAGGAGGAGTTATCTGAAAAAAATAGGTTGAAAATTACGGAAGTGGTGCTACCAAAGTTGGAAAGAAAGTACTTTAAGAAAGGAGTGTGTGGGCTTCCCTGGTGGCGCAGTGGTTAAGTAATCCACCTGCCAAGGCAGGGGACATGGGTTCGAGTTCTGGTCCAGGAAGACCCCACACGCAGCAGGGCAGCTAAGCCCATGGGCCACAACTACTGAGCCTGTGCTCTAGAGCCTGCAAGCCACAGCTACTGAGCCCGCATGCCACAACTACTGAAGCCTGCATGCCTAGAGCCGGTGCTCCGCAGCAAGAGAAGCCACTGCGGTGAGACCCGGCTCACGGCAACTAAAGAAAGCCCACGCGCAGCAACGACGACCCATGCAGCCAAAAGTTAAATTTGTTTTTTAAAAAAGAGTGTGGAATGAGGAGACGTGACAGAGGAGGGAGGCACTGACTACAGAAAGAGTCAATTTGGAATCTTCTGAAAGGGTAGCGGAGCAATTGGACAGTAGGTAGTAGTCTATGTAGGTTAAGGAACGATTTTCTTTTAAAGATTGATATTACAGCATGCCTGCATGATAATGAAAGCACTGCCATAAAGTGGCTGGGGCGGGGAAGGGTGGAGAGTAATGAAGGCGAAGAGAGTTTACAAAGTCCTACAACAGGAGGAGGATGGGAATCAAAGCGCAGACAAAGGAGGTGACCTTTGATAGCTGTGTGACCCCATCTGATTGTGGAAAAGAATGTGTTAAGAAAGGCACTGCTGTCCTTTAGGAGACCATTCCAAAATGCCTACTCCCCACCTCTTCTCGCCCCCTCTGCTGGCCGATCTTGGATTATACCTCCCAGAAGAAAGAGCAGTAGGAAACAGGAACCCTACCACTTCCACCCACCCTGTTCCCCTGGCTGTTACAATGGATATTATTTGATGTCAGCATCAAGTCAGCTCCCTCATCATGGATCGGTCAAATACCAAGGACGTTTTACCACTCAGGGCCTGTAAGCAAAAATAACAGTCCAATAAGGAAAGCGAAGAGTGGCAGGCACAGGCCTCCAATAGATAGGCAGCAAGGGTAAGAAAGCAAAGGGTAATGCTACAGAGTGAGAACAGCTGCTACAGCCCCCTTAGGCCGCTAATGGAGGCCCGCAACTCTCTCAGCAAACCGTGGGCTAGAAACAAAGGCAGATGTAGCTTTGCTGGAGTGGGTGGTGCGGAGAACTTAACTGGGCAGACTACGTCAGCGCATATCTCCCTGCGGGAGTCACGAGGCTGACAGCGGGTCGGCTACACTGCGCACGCGCAGGACACAGCCGGTCGTAGGGACCGGAAGGACGGGTGCGAGTGGGATGGCTGCAGACAAGGGGGCTGGAAGCGCTGAAGCCGTGGAGCGGGTTCTACCCGTGTTGTTGGTGCCGGTCCCCGCCGAGGCAACAGGGCGTCTGGGATCCCGGGCGCAGCTGCACAGGGAGCAGGAGGTTCTGGGGAGCCTGACGGCTGCAGGCAGCCTTCACGTGCTTCCCTTGGCGCCCGGCGGCCGGGGCGGGGGCGGCTGCCTCCTGGAAGGCCCTTTTCGGCAGTAAGTGCTGTGGCCGGGCCTGGCCTTGTGGAGAGAGTCTGCAGCCTTAGCTTGGCTGGCGCCTCTGATCCCCTCCTACCTTGGAGGTAGCGGGAGAGGGATGATGGTGGAGGGCAACGCCTCAGAGGCAGGCCCGGTTCCTTCTCGGAACATTTTCCTCGGTTTGTCGCGTCCCTGCACCCATTCTTTCCCGTTCCGGGTGGGTGGAGACAGTATCCAGATCCTCTCCGGACGTGGAGAACCTGTAATGAATCCTAGCTTGGACGCTTTTTAAATTCATTTAACACAGGTTGATTAATCGTCACTTTGCCGTGCCCCACGCCCATTTTCTTCAGTTAAATCTGTTAAAGATGCCAGCTGAGGGGCATCATCTCTCATTTGAATCATCCTGTTACCTTTTCCTTATCTCTGATACAAATAGCTGTTTCCTTCACATTTGGGCTTCCCCTCCCCTCCACCCCCCTTCAAGGACAGAGCCTGCGTTTTCTATACTCACTCGTGTATTCACTCAACAAATACTTATTATGCGCTTTCTGTTCGGTACCTAGGAGCAGTGCCTAAAAGGTGTAATAAGACAGTTCTTACATGTGAGGTTGTATGGTTGGGAAGACAGAAAAAAAACAATTTCAACCATGTATTACTTTCCACATATGTAACTCTTACAGTTTACATCATTAAGTTTGAGGGTGCCTTCCGACGCTTTGGACTCTTTAATAACAAATCATTTTAGAAATGTTAACGATTTTGAGTAGCCACAGAGGAGTTCTGGAATATCCAGGTCCTATAAAAGTGCCTCACAGTAGAGATTCGTTTGTTCAATCACTGAATGTTTTAACCTGTTTTATGTTTGTCTTCTTTATTCCTGATCTCTAGTTGCTAGGAAAAGGAATCCCTCCTTACCATAAGTTAGTTGATTCAACAGTATTAAGTACCTATGAACACAGCCATATAAGGAAAGGAATGAGACAGAGAGAGAACCTTACAGAAGATAAGCAGAACAGACATAAAATAATGGGGGCTTTTGTAAGCTATTGCATGAAATTAGTGGGGGAGGATCAAGAAGGGCTACTTTTTAGTTTTTTTAGTTGAATTAATTCAGTTAAAATAATTCGTAGGGTAAAAATAAGGACAAGTTTGTAGTGTACAGAATTTGCTTCCTCCTTTCCTCAAAGTATGTATGGTCCTTTGTATGTTGTTGAAATCACTGTACATTATTATGTTCACTGAAAATTCTCTTTCCACGTGGCAGTATAGTCCCATGTACTAATGATGTTACTGGTTTCACAGTTTTCAGCCTTTTAAATGTATCTTAATTTGTTTAACCTTTTCCATATTTGACATCAGATTTCAGTGTGAACAGTCAGGAATTGGCTGTTTATGAAACATCATTCTAGGTATAAAGACAAATACAAAATGTCAGTGTTTTTTTCTAATAATAACATAGTAGCACCAAGTCCACTGTTTTTAGATATAAAACTTACTACTTCTGTAGAAAAAAAGCTTTTTTTAAAAGATGAAACTATCAGCATGGTAACCTCATCTCATTCCATTGCATTGTTTTCAAAATTGGAGCTCTCTTTTTTCTCTTTTAATGTAACTTAATTTTATTATTTAATTTGAAGCTGTGATATCATTAGCCTCTTTCCATCCTTGTTAGTCATGTTGGTATGTTGACTTTACACTGCTTTAAATATTCTATAACTGCACTTAAAATTGAAAATTTAGTTCCTCAGTTGCACTACCCACATTTCAAGTGCTCAGTAGCCACATGAGGTTGTTGGCTACTGTATTGGACTTTGCAGATGTGTAGATCACTTGCATCTCATGGAAAGTTTCGTTGGACAGAGCTATTGTGTAATATGCCAGTTTAGAGTCTTCAAAGTCTATAAATGCAAATAATCACTTTCTTTTTTTTTTAAGTTATTGAAAGCATTTATGTTAGCAAAACGTATTTTATTCATTGTGAAGACCATCTCTTATAAATAATAGACATATTTGGTTGTTGAAACATATCCTTGATCATGACAGTTCCTTTAAACATACCACCAGACTTAGGATGAAGGAAAAAAGCAGCCACCATTTCTTGCTCTTTGCCCCCTTTTCACAAATGACTCCTATATTCTTGTGTTGCCCTGAAGGGGGCTGAGGGGGAAGAAGTGAGAAAGGGGAAGGGGCTGGAAGTTCTAGAGCAGTTTACATTCCCTTAGGTTGTATATAGAAGTAATGCTATTAGGTGGACCAAAGAGTTCTCTACTTCTTCTGTCCTACCTTCACCACTGTGGGTATTATTGTGGATATAGAATATAATAAATAGTCTAAGCTTTTTCCTTAGGTTTGTATGGGAGGACTCTCAAAACAGTGGGACACCAACAGACAAGCCCAGACTGCTTGCTCTTAGTGAAAATAATGCACTGCTCATCTGTGAATTTAATTTGAAAGATGGAAGATGTGATGCAACCATTTCATATAGCTATACTGAGGAGACATTGCGAAAGCTCATTGAAGATCAAATTATCAGTAAGTATTTGCAGGTGGTCTTTTAGCATGTTGAATTTGTGTATTACTGTGTAATTTTATGTATTTCAGGAAAAGTTCTTATAGAGGTGAAGTCAGGGAGGAATATTTGCCCTGTGCAGTGTAGTAGGCACTAGCCACATGAGGCTATTAAGCCCTTAATGTGCTTAAATATGTCCTTTAAATGTCTAATGTTGATACATTCCAGATTTGAAGACTTGGTACTAAAAATGTAAAATATCTCACTAATATTTTTTGTATTACATGTTGATAATGATATTTTGAATATGAGGTAAATAATATATAATAAAATTAGTTTCATGTGTTTTCTTTTTTCAGTACAGCTACTAGAAAATTTAAAATTACATGTGTGGCTCACTTTTGTGACTGACATTATATTTCTATTGGATAATGTGCTGATCTAGACTGGTTACAGACCTGTTTGCTATGTCCCATCCTGAGGGCTGCAGGGAACAGAGATCAAAGCACTCAGGCTTCTATTTTTAAGGCAGTTGCATTCTCGCTACCCTGATTATAAGGTTCCTTCTTTTCCTTCTAAAAAAAGAGTCTGTGATTGATCTTATTTGGTCTCATGGGTAAGTAGGCTTTTTTGATCATCTTCTGGTGTGTTGTCACACTCTGGCTGTAAACAGAAGGCACAGAGACATTGTAGGCCATCTTTATTCAGTTCCTTACTTACCTTCCACTTGCTTAGGTGAGTTTGACCAATAATTGTCTAGAGTTGGACTAAGTTAAATGCTGATTCTTTTTTGTTTTACCTGTTTGTGTTAACAGAATCAAATTTACCAGTTGTAATATTGTGACCAGTGAGTTTGATGTAATCTCCTTTTGTTTTATAGGTATTTCCTTATTATCTTTGAGAATTCTGTCATTTCACAGTAACACATCATTATTGTTCATCAATGAATATATCATCCTGCACATTATATTTCCTGAAAGAGATGCTGAGATTAGGGTACTCAGCTGTTTCACATTATCCTTGCCTGCACAGGCAGTGGACAGGATTATTGACACACAGCTCTGCAGAGGAATTCTTTTTGTTTTGAGTCATTTAGGCTGGATCTGTATCCTTGTTGGTAAAGATGTTGACGTGTGGGGGAGGAGAATACCTAGAAAAATGAGCCTTTTTATAGGCTTTTAGTTTTAGGGACTGGGCTGTAGGTAGAAAGATTAATTTTTCAGTAAAACTCTCAGGGAAAAAGATCTTCATGAACTTAAAATACTCAACTACATTGCTTTATATTCCATTCAAATATTTTTCAGTTTATAAATCATAATCATCTTGTCCAACTTATTTATGTTGTTTTAAAATTGTATATGTTCTGCATTACCCATTTATTTAAAATATACTTATTAAATATCTACTTTGTGCTCGTTCCAGGAGAGATTTAGATGACTGCTTATGATATGATACACACATTTTCATGTGTGAATATAACCTATCTCTTATTGTCTCTGATGATGATTCCATCATATTAGGGAATCAAATGGTTTGCATAACTGTTTGAAATTTGTTTTTGGAAAACTATCACAGATTTTTTGTCTTTAGCAGATTCATAGGTCACCAGCAAAATTATTTTGAAGATTGTTTGAAGAACGACTCGTTATGTGTTTTTGGAACTTTCATTTCTGCATTAAAGAAGTAATTTTTCTATTTTACATGTATCATAGCCTGTGTTAAAATTTATTTTGTAAAAAATGTTATAGAATATTGGATTAATTTCATTTTTTTTTTTTTTTTTTTTTTTTTTTTTTTTTTTTTTTTTTTTTTTTTTTTTTTTTTTTTTTTTTTTTTTTTTTTTTTTTTTTTTTTTTTTTTTTGCGGTACGCGGGCCTCTCTGCTGTGGCCTCACCCGTTGCGGAGCACAGGCTCCGGACGCGCAGTCTCAGCAGCCATGGCTCACGGGCCCAGCCGCTCCGCGGCATGTGGGATCTTCCCGGACCAGGGCACGAACCCGCATCCCCTGCATCGGCAGGGGGACTCTCAACCACTGCGCCACCAGGGAAGCCCTAATTTCATTTTTTCTGCCTGGTTACAGAACTGAGCTGTCCGACATGGTAGGCAGTAGGCATACGTGGCTGTTGAACACTTGAAATTTTTTGGCTAGTGTGACTGAGGAACTGAATTCTTAATTGTATTTAATTACTTTAGATTTAAAGTCTGATACTTGATTGAGTTATTGGAGAACTCTTGAGTATGTTTGGAACAACTCTGGCTGTTCCAAGTTCTTAAAAATAAAATTTTGAAGTCTAAATACAGACCAGATATTTCCAATGAAAATTTAATTGTCCAAATTGAGATGTGCTATAAGTATAAAATAACTAGGTTTGAACACTTATGTGAAAAAGATGTAAAATATCTCAATTTTTTAATATTGATTACATATAGAGATAATATTTTGGATACACTAGGTTAAATGAAACATATTCTTAAAGTTAGGTTCACTGGTTTCTTTTTACTTTTTTAATAAGGCTGCTAGAAAATTTACAGTGACAAATGTGCCTCACGTTGTTTCTTTTGGACAGCACTGTTGTAGAACACTAGTGGAAAATATTATTGTTGTCTCAGGGCCTGGCACAGAGTGGAGATTCAGCAAGTATTGTTGAGTGAACTCTATCAGGTTGTTTATTGGTTCCCCAACTTCATAGTCACCTGGTTAATATGATGGAATTTTTAGTGTCTGTCTTCCTTCTATTATTATTCCTACAAGGTTGGAGCAGTGAAGTCTATAACTCTATTTCGTCCTGTGTTTTAAATGGTTAGGCATACTTAAGACTGACGTTTTCTTTAACTCTAACTCTAAGACATTTTTGACACTGTGGATGGTAGACATGTAGCTCATGTGGATTTGGCACTTCCTCAAGAAGATATGTATAATGAGCAGCAGCAAGAGCCAGCCAAGAGTTCTTCCTTTACTTCACTGAAAGTGTCTCAAGACCTAGATGTTATAGTGATTGTCAGCTCCTCCAACACTGCAATTGCTCTTAACTTAAATTTGTATTTCAGGTATGTAGATTACTTCCTTCTCTGATTTCAGGTGAATAATTAGAGCCATAACAGATTAAAAATGTACTTGTTAGCTTCTTTTTATGCTTTTAACCAGTTTTTTTCCCTCCCTTTGCTTGATCACGTTCTAGCTACTACTTAGTGAGCTTGTTACTATATAAAAGTATGTACAAGTGACCACTGGCTACCTTTTTATTTCTGGATACATACCCAAGTTTGATTTTGATTTATGTTTATTATTATTATATATGGCTTATATCATCATATGTGAAAAGTAACCAAGCACAATTTTAAAAGCCCTTAGCTATTATACATTATCTACTCACTTCTTCTCAATACTAGAGTAGAAGAAAAATGGGATTTACCCTGTGTTAGAATTGTATCTTACGTGGGTTTGGGTCCTGGCTGCCTAGGGGATCACTTTTCACTTAAGGACTTTGACAAGATGTATTAACTGTGCTTTCTCCATTTTAGGATTTCCTCAGGTGTTTCCTTTTGAGGGCCCACACACTTCCTAAATATACTAGTGAAAATTGAGTATTTCTTTGTGTAGCTTTTTGCTTTAGAAATTCTAATTGCTTCTGATTTTATAATGTTTGAAAGGAATATGTGTGTATGTGAATGTGCATACACACACACACACACACACACACAGCATCCTGTTTATTGAAACTTGCAAGTAGGGTAATCCACATTTATGACTTTCAGTATTAAGGGACATTTCAAACCGTTAGGATTTTTGGTCCTAACTTAATATGAATGAAATAAACATATCCTTGAGTAATTGGGAATGCACTTTGATGGGTTTATTGCTCATTGTCTGGATTACAAAAAAGGGTTAATTTCATCTTCACATATCAGCCAGAACTTCTTACTACTGTGAGTTTTTCATTTGTTTTCCATGGCCTTTTAATACTTTTTTTTTTTAAATCTTTGAGCAGGGATGATTATCACATTTTCAGACTGCATGCTTGTGTATCAGTAGGCCATTTTCACTGACTAAAATATATCCTGTATGTGTAGAGTTACCTTCTAATCAACTTCCTTGGAAAATAATTTGACAGGTGAGGGGGGAAGGAATGCCCACTCAGCTACTCTGATCCTTGAGTGTAGGGTTCTGCTCCTCTGGGTGTTTTGGCAACACCCCAAGAGAAGAACACTGAAGTGGGCACCAGGCACATCCCTTTGAACAAATTTCATTGAACTCAGCCACTGTAGCATCAGCCAGTGAAGAGCTGCTGTTCTGTTCCCTATAGTCAATTTAGGGATCTGTCCTGTCCAACTAAATGAGTGATCTCTATTTGTTAATTATCTACATGAGTGCTCTTTAATTAGTATAATTTCTTGAGGAAGTTGACTGCATGTTTATTTTCTAAGTGTACTCTGAAATCTGTTTTTTTTTTTACCATTCCTGCCATACAAAAAGTCAGCCACCCCTTTTCATTTTATCAAGTCCTATTCATGCTTTGAGATCCACTCTTTAATGAAGTCATTCCTTACTAAAATCCCTTCCACTTGTAAATTTCTACTCATTTTATAATTTTTCTCTCCTTTGGACTTCTGTAGCACTTTTGCTTTGAACTACAGTTTAGCACTTAATTGTGTATAGTCTTGTATTATTTCTCTAATTTTTTGTGTTTCCTACAGAGTTTGTAAGCTCCATGTAAACTCCTCATGGTTTGTTCATTCAATTCACTGTCAATGACTTTTTCTTCCAGTTTATCTTAGCTGTCCATTCCCATAGTCATACCCTGGGCTTCGTCATTATATGAAGCAGCTCCTCCCCCAAATCACTCTTCTACACATCCCACTCTGAGCACAACTTGCCAGACTGTACAGCTTGCTTACTCAAGTACCCCCACTTCTCTCATCTGACCTCATTGGAATTTCTAATATGCTGACTTCCCAGGTGAAGACAGGAGCCCCCTCTGTCTTCACTGCCCTCCCTTTACAGCATAGATTCTGTGACCTGTCATTTCAGTCACTTTCTTGAATGAGCCCTAAACTCTTGCTCCTGCACTGTGGTAGCACTTGATCTGACAAATCTTTTTTTTTATTCTCTCTTCTCATTCCCTGCACTGCAACTGAGCACTTGTGAGAAAACCACAGAGGAAAATTGATACCACTTTAAGTTCACATTCACTGTCTTCCGTGGTCTCTCATGTTGCCTGGAAATTTTACAATGACTTTTCATGAGTCCATTCTCTTTTTTTTTTTTTTTTTTTT